TCCTTTTTATAAATTAAGATTCACAAAATTTTCATGCATGTTCGTGAATTTTCTGGTTGATCTTTAGATTATGGTAACTTGGCAATTTTTGGCGAAAATTTGGCGACCAAACTCTCCTACAGCAACCCTCTATTTTTTTTTCCCGCCGCCATTTTGTCTTCACGAAGTAAAGACATGTTTCTTTCTTTTTATCTACTGAACACTTCTTCCAACAATCTACTAGCCGAATTACACTTATGCTAGAAATTTTATCTAACAAAACTGCTTAATCATGACAAATATTCACTGCAAAATTGGGAAAAAGTGCACAATACCATACTCCTTACGCGTTTTTCAAAATAACACATACACATAAACCATGTACACGCCGACTTATTTTTACTTAAAAAAAAATCCCAGAATTGCACAAAAATGGCATTGCGCACACTCTTCACTATATCCATGTACACTGCTTTTTTCTCATAAATTAGAAAAATTTCACGAAAATACATGACAATTTTCTGAATCTTTAAACCCGGTAAAAAGAACATATATGAAATTACCTGATCGCAAAAAAGTATATACCCTTTCCAAATATGAACATTTCCACATATAAAATAAATAAAATATCCAAAAACTTTTACCTCTAAATTATCTATTATATTATAAACGTCACCAACGAATTCATACCGCAAACATTACAAATACTTAGTGTCAAATATTTAAATTATTTCCATGCACGTTTCCTTCAACTAAAACGTATACCAAATTCCTACAAACATAAAATTCACAAAATAACTATCATTTAATTAAACACTACTTAAGTACTAATACTACTTAAACATCAAAAACACTACTTAAAATATAAATAAGCACATACATTAAATTAATAAAAATTAGCTTACAATCCTAATTACTTTAAACTAAATCATTGCTAATAACAATTTTCCCAATAATACCAAATTACTTTACTTCCACCTTACATTTAGAACAATGCATAAAAATAATATCCTCAAATAATTAAAAATACTAACTTACCTAATCTTCTTCAGAATCTTGCTTACATGGTGGATACACTTTTATTATGGATTCAATAAAATTATTGAACGATTTTTTCTGCGAATTTTTCCTCCACACTTCCTCCGCTAAATAAAAAGCAAAATTCTCCTTATCACAATGCCTCGGAATGGCGCTTTTTATAGCACTCCACGTGCCCTCTATTGTATTGGTATGTGCACCTGTTTCCGGATCTTTAAAATAATATTTGTGGTTCACAGCAAGATGTTTAAAACCTTCATCTTCCAAACATTCATACGATTTCCAGCAATCTGAAATAATTATAGTACCCGGTAGAATATATTCTTTTATAAAACTTAATAAACAATCTTTACTTCTATCTCGACAACCTTAAAAAAACATTATTACTACCCCTTTCAATCCCACCAAAACACCCATTTTCCTTCCACTCTCCTACCTCTCTGATACTTCCGCTTCCCAAACTTACTCTCATCAATTTCCACAATAACATTCATACCACCAAGCATACCCATATCATTTTCGCAAAATTCCACGCACACTTCCCTACAAAAAAATTCCAATCAGCTGCAGTCCTACTGCTAATTTCTAAATCCGAAATCCAATAGTCAACTGGCAATCTATTCACCCAATAATAAGAAATCAATAAAATCTCTCACCCATACTCAAACGACTTTCAGCAAACCACGTACCCTTCCTTACACTCCGTTTCACAAAATGTCCATTTTCACCAGATTTCTTGCACCGCCATTCAAACTTATCAGTAATATCCTTCCTTTCACACAATCTCATTTCATTCCCACATTTTGGACATTCATACTTATCCGCAATTAAACCTACACTCATGCACCATTCAACCAATTCTTTTGAATTATCACACAAAACGCATTAAAAAATCTAGAATTCACTTTAGACAGCGCCATACAATCCCAAAATTATTCAACCCTACTTCACACAACACACAATGAAGCTTAATACAAAATAATATACAGCCACAGATATTTTTCCAAATTCCCCCTTTTCCGATTAAAGAACCGTAATTCGTCCATTAATATCACATGACATATCCATGATCTCTCATTTCCCTCACACAAAATAATGCGTAATCGGAACTGAGTACTGCTCACATTATTACCAAAGTCCCAGGTAGTAACCTTTATCGCCTCCAAAATGTCACCAAACTACCAGTTACCATATTCTAAAGATCAGCCATTTTTCTAATTTATGAGAAAAAAGCAGTGTACATGGATATAGTGAAGAGTGTGCGCAATGCCATTTTTGTGCAATTCTGGGATGTTTTTTTAAGTAAAAATAAGTCGACGTGTAGATGTTTTAATTATATTTTAATTAAATGATAGTTATTTTGTGAATTATATGTTTGTAGCAATTTGGTATACGTTTCAGTGGAAGTAAACGTGCAAGGAAATAATTTAAATATTGACACTAAGTATTTGTAACCATTTTAATGTTTTGTTATGAATTCGTTGGTGGACGTTTATAATAATAATAATTAGAGGTAAAAGTTTTTGTATATTTTATTATATTATACGCGGAAATGTTATCCTTGGATAGGGTATATAATTTTTCGCGATCAGGTAATTCATATATGTGCTTTTGGTTGATCTTTACAATATGGTAACTGGTAGTTTGGCGACATTTTTAGAGGCAATAAAGGTTACTACCTGGGACTTTGGTAATAATGTGAGCAGTACTCAGTTTCCGATTACGCATTATTTTGTGTGAGGGAAATGAGAGATCATGGGATATGTCATGTGATATTAATGGACGAATTACGGTTCTTTAATCGGAAAAGGGGGGAATCGGGAAAAATATCTGGAAATTTTGTATTTAAGCTTCATTCTGTGTTGTGTGAAACAGTGTTGGTTAATTTTTGGATCCCATGGCCCTAACTAAAGTGAATTCGAAATGGGTATTTAGGTATTGTGATAAAGAGAAGTTTTGCTTTTTATTTAGCGGAGGAAGTGTGGAGGAAAAATTCGCAGAAAAAATCGTTCAATAATTTTATTGAATGAATAAAAAGTGTATCCACCACGTAAGCAAGATTCTGAAGAAGATTAGGTAAGTTAGTATTTTTAATTATTTGAGGATATTATTTTTATGCATTGTTCTAAATGTAAGGTGGAAGTAAAGTAATTTGGTATTATTGGGGAAAATTGTTATTAGCAATGATTTAGTTTAAAGTAATTAGGATTGTAAGCTAATTTTTTTAATTTATGTGTCATTTATTATTTTAAGTAGTGTTTTTGAATTTAATTATATTTTAATTAAATGATAGTTATTTTGTGAATTTTATGTTTGTAGGAATTTGGTATACGTTTTAGTTGAAGTAAACGTGCATGGAAATAATTTAAATATTTGACACTAAGTATTTGTAATGTTTGCGGTATGAATTCGTTGGTGACGTTTATAATATAATAGATAATTTAGAGGTAAAAGTTTTTGGATATTTTATTTATTTTATATGTGGAAATGTTCATATTTGGAAAGGGTAATACTTTTTCGCGATTAGGTAGGTAATTTCATATATGTTCTTTTTAACCGGTTTAAAGATTCAGAAAATTGTCATGCATTTTCGTGAAATTTTTTCTAATTTATGAGAAAAAGCAGTGTACATGGATATAGTGAAGAGTGTGCGCAATGCCATTTTTGTGCAATTCTGGGATGTTTTTTTAAGTAAAAATAAGTCGGCGTGTACATGGTTTATGTGTATGTGTTATTTTGAAAAACGCGTAAGGAGTATGGTATTGTGCACTTTTTCCCAATTTTGCAGTGAATATTTGTCATGATTAAGCAGTTTTGTTAGATAAAATTTCTAGCATAAGTGTAATTCGGCTAGTAGATTGTTGGAAGAAGTGTTCAGTAGATAAAAAGAAAAGAAACGTCTTTACTTCGTGAAGACAAAATGGCGGCGGGGGAAAAAAAAAAAAGAGGGTTGCTGTAGGAGAGTTGGTTGCCAAATTTTCGCCAAGTTACCATAATGTAAAGATCAACCGTGCTTTTTACCGAGTTTAAAGATTCACAAAATTTTCCTGCATTTTCGTGCAAATTTTTGTAATTTATGAGAAAATAGCAGTGTAGAAGGATAAAGTTAAGAGTGTGAGCAATGCCATTTTTGTGCAATTCTGGGATTTTTTTTAAGTAAAAATAAGTCGAAGTGTACATTGTTACTGTGTACGTGCAATTCTGAAAAACGCGGCAAGGAGTTTGCGATTCTGCACTTTTTCCAATTTTACAGTTAATATTTGTCATGATTAAGCAGTTTTGTTCCATAAAATTTCTAGCATAAGTGTAATTCGGCTAGCAGATTGTTGGGAAAAGTGTTGAGTAAATAAAAAGAAAAGAAACATGTCTTTACTTCGTGAAGACAAAATGGCGGCGAAAAAAAAAATAGAGGGTTGCTGTAGCAGAGTTGGTCACCAAATTTTCGCCAAAAAATCGCCAAGTTACCATAATCCAAAGATTAACCAAGATTCCTTATTCGCCAAAATATGATGTGCAGGTGAAAAAGAGTTTATTAAATTTTATACTGAACATATCGAAAAATATCACCAAAAATATTGAACAATATAGGATTTAAAAATCGTTTGTATTCAAAACAATAAATTCAAAAGCAAATAAGTATATGAAATATGCATTTGACAGTCAGAGAGAACGATATTAAATACTGCTTTAAACACAATTACATGCATCAGACATATTCCAGATTTACATTACGAAGAATTAAGTTAATTAGTAAAACACAGTAATCAGATTGATAAGATTAGCTGAAAGGTTAAACTAATATACTAAAATAGATAATAGTGGACAGTAATCTACACCTGTGGGTTAACAATTCCTATAAGAGAACTAACTATACTTCAAATGGTTACACATCCAATCAAAGAAGTTAAATTCACTACATATTAGAAAGATGCATTTAGATATATTCATCATATATGTCAGAAATATAAAGTCGTATATCCTACCTTTGATTCCAAATTCCTCACAATTAAATCCGAAAAATAACTTGCCTGGTACAACTCAAAAAATATTAAAATTTACAAGCGGGTAAAAAAAATACAAATAGTAGATTGCTACAAGTTGAGTTGTATCGATGAAGTCGCTAAAATGCACGAACGGATTTTCTCAAATTTTTACAGTCAAAAATTATTAAAAAATTAGATAGCAATGAAATTCTTTAAAATTAAATTAAAATAGTGCAAATAAAATGCTCATCATGTTAAAACTTTTATTCTAGTAAATTTTCTCGGCAAAATAAAATGTACGGTAGAGACAACCAATCAGACGAGAGTTCTGCTTCTGAAGGATCACGTAATCCCAATCTGAGCGATAATCCCTTACTGTTTGGTTTTCAAATCTTTGTAGTATGTGAAAATGGTAATCTAGCTACGTGGGTTTCCTGGAATTGTGCAGGTTCTGAGAATTGACCCTTTCGACATCAAGTCCGGCGTAGCCGAAACATAATGTGATTGTAACCTTACACCAAGGATGTCAAACTCGTGGCCCGCGGGTTGCATGCGGCCCACAACAAATATTTTTGCGGCCCGGCCAATATATCTGCAAATAATAATATATAATAATAAAATAACATATCGACGAACAAAAAATTGAAATGTTTACTACTAAGTAATTAACGATAATTTATTCAGTGTTGTTAGATTGAGCTGACACACACACACTACTTAAATTACAAATGCGTGTGAGTAGCTTGTGTTCAGCTACCTTCGGTTTTCGGGGGACACGTGCACTCAGATCTTGTACGCATCCCCCGATAGCCGAATGTGGCCGAACTCATGGTCTCAGTTTTCCAATCATAGTTTTGTACGATATATTGGTGCATGCATGTGCATGCACTTTGCTTTATTATTAATTATTACTTAAGTCATATTGTTACGGATTTCATAGTTATTTATTTAGTTAGTTTTTTTTATTTAGAATTGTAATTAGATTTGCTTCATGTTGCCTTAGCAACGCAGACGATTTTTGAAAAGACAGCTGCGATGGAAGGTTAAAAATAGAACAGCGCGTGCATTTAATACCAAATAAATAAATATCTCGTAATTGCTGTTTCCATTCACAAAACTCCAGATATTTATAGATGTTTCCAGTACATTCGAGAAATTAATTATAAAGCTTATAAAAGCCGAGAACAAACAACTCATCTCAATAGTAGCTGTAGTTCTAGCGAACTGTTTGTTTACTTAATGCTGTGATTGATTTGTAGCGATTTCGCTGTGAGATAGAATTAGTTTCTCTGTTTTGAATTGATTTTTGCTAAACGTTTGACATTTTGTGATATTGTTAGAATATTTTTGAAGAAATATTTCAGCATTTTGATTTATCTCTTGTGGAAAGAATAAATTTTTGTTAACTTTTTAACGTTAACCGTGTTTATTCCAGCCCTTTGTATTCATTATGTCCATATCAAAACCAAGTGGTAGTAAAATTAAACGAAAAATCGCTGACGAACATAGAATATTCCAAGTAAAATGGGAATTAGAATATTTTTGCTGTGAAGTTAAAAGATAAAACAATCTGCTTGATATGTAATAATACTATTAATGTACCAAAGTTATATAATATTAAACGTCATTACGAACAACACAAATCGAAATATAACAATTACGAAGAATTAATGAGAGAAGAAAAGTTGAAAGAGCTCAAGTTAGGAGTAAAAAAGCAACAGTCCATGTTTAGTAAAGTATTGCAAGAAAGTGAAGCGGCGGTACATGCAAGCTACGTCTTGTCCGAGTTGATAGCTAAACATTCCAAGCCTTTTATTGACGGTGATTTCATCAAGGAATGCCTAATGAAAGCTGGAGAAATTGTTTGTCCTGGAAATGTGAAGGCTTTTCAATCAATTTCATTGTCTCGAAATACAGTTGCGGAAAGAGTTACTGATTTAGCCGCGAATTTAAGTGATCAGATCAAAGCAAAATCATCTAGTTTCGAAAGTTTCTCCATTGCCTGTGACGAGAGCACGGACATTAGTGGCAAAGCTCAATTAGCAGTGTTTCTTCGTTCTTGTGACAAGAATTTTCACATTTTTGAGGAATTACTGGAACTAATACCGATGCCTGGTACTAGCACAGAAGAAGATATATTTACTTGTGTTTTTGGACTTCTGCAGAAATACAATCTACCTTTGGCAAAATTAAATTCTGTAGCTACAGGTGGCGCTCCATCAATGAACGGGAAAAACAAGGGCTTCGTAGCATTACTAAGAAAAAAACTTAGTGAAATTCACGGTTCAAACATTTATCATATGCATTGTATTATACATCAAGAAGTTCTATGCACGAAAGTAATAAATATGGAGAATGTTTTGTCATATATAAAAAAAGTTATAAATTTTATAAGATCTCGAGGTTTAAATCAGCGTCAATTCACTGCTTTCTTAAGTGAGTTAGATAGTGAATATTCGGGTTTGTCCTACTATACCGAGGTACGTTGGTTATTTTGCTTCAAGATTCTCAAACAATTCTGGGATTTGAAAGAAGAAATATGTCAGTTTTTAAAAACGAAAAATCAAGACGTAAGTTTGTTTTACGATCCAATATGGATACAAGATTTACCTTTCTTGGTTGATATAACCAAACACTTAACCGATTTAAATTTATCGTTACAAGGAAAAGATCATATCATTACGAACATGTTTGACATAATTAAAGCATTCAAATATCAACTAGTTCTTTGGGAAAAACAACTTAAAAATGAAGATTTGATGCACTTCCCGATGTGCAGCATGAACAAATCAAGTTTAGATGATACTTGTTCGTATCAAAAATACGCAGAAAAAATTGCAAATTTAACAACTGAATTTGAAACGAGGTTTAATGATTTTAGTTCCCTCGAAGACATTTTTTTTTCTTCAATTTCTCAATAAGTATTGACTCAGTAGCCACCCATGTGCAAATGGAGGTGATCGAGATTCAATGCAACTCAAATTTGAAAGCAAAATTCATTGAAGTGGGCGTGCCTGAATTTTACAAATATTTACCAGCCAGGTTTGAAAATACTCGAAAATTCGCATATGAAATTATTTCCATGTTTGATAGCACTTATCGGTGCGAGCAGTTATTTTCAGTCATGAAAGGTAATAAGTCTCCTATTAGAAACCGTATTAATGATGCTCACCTTGGGTCAGCGTTGAGAGTTATCACTGCAAACAAAATTTCCCGAAATCGGAAAGATAATAGCAAAGAAGAGATGTCAAGTATCAGGACGTAAACATTAAATTTTTCTTGTTCTTTTCTATATAAATATATATATATATGTTTATTATTGTATTATTCGAAATAAATCTACGTTTCTATGAATATTGATTTTTTTTTTTTTCGGCCCGCCTAAAGTTAAACCTTGTTTGTTTGGCCCAAGTGTACCTATGAGTTTGACATCCCTGCCTTACACGATCGACGCATAGGAAATTTTTCCGTCAGCTGAGTAGTTGCCGTTTAAAATTCTGACAATCGTTTTAGAGCTAAACTGAAGACGGCGGAGATCACGGGTAGTTTTTGGAAACTCGAGTGTTTCGCGATAGAAATAACCCATCTGATACTGATGATTCTACTTTTATTGGGTTATTTCGGCTTACCTATAGCATGGATCCTTATCGGAGCATTCACATCAAAGACAACAATAACTCCTGAATTAAAGGTAAGGAATAATTTGCTTGTTTTTATACCTGCATGATTTAGGCTTCTGGTTATTTATCTATCAGATAAGCAATTTCTTAATTTAATTTCAGTGAAAATAATATTGTTGCGTGCGTACGGGTTCGTTATGAAATGAATGCAAAAGTCCGATGAAAAATGAACAAAATTTATTTATCAATCACAACAAATATGCTTAAATTTTCTATCACAGCAATTATGCTTAAATTTCCTCAGATATTCGTGCAGTATTACAATACCTCACAGTAGTTATCTTTTAACTACTCAAAAGTTCCAGAGAACTTAATTCAAAACAGCTAGAAAAAGCGGTACTATTCCGTTTTGAGGACCATAAAAAAATTGCAGCGAAAATGTATGCGCCAAATCTAGCAAACGCGCCCATTTAATAGCGCGCCAAATCTAGCGTACGCGCTGGTTTCAGATTGCGTAAGTTTATATAGTTCTATATTTCTTAAGACGGCATTGAAATACTAGCTTAATTTTTAAATCCTTTTTTGATATCCTATGAATTTCACAATTTGGGAATTGCCTATGACGAAAAGTCTGCAATAGAATTTTGAGTAAAGTGCAGAATCAGCCACTACTTGACGCGTTTTTAAGAATTGCACATACTCGGTATCCATGTACACATCGATCTATTTTCACTTTACAAAAAATCCCAAAACTGCACAAAAATGGCACTGCGCACACCCTTGACTTTATCTATGTACACATCGACTTATTTTCACTTAAAAAGTTTAAAAAAAATTGACAAAAACGCAATTACTTTCACCCTTGTAAAAAGCGGGCAAACAAATAAGTGGGCGATTCTGCACTTTACCGAGAATTTTTTTAAAGAAAAGGAATCATTCATTATAGAAAATTATGTTTAGACAACCAACGAGATGAAATTATGCTTTAGCGATAACTCGGTAGCGAAATAGCGATACAGGCATCCATTCAGTTATGTTAAGCAATTTTTATATAAATTATAATAATGATCTGAAATAGTTATTTACTCTTATGCTTCCATTCAGTCATCTTTCGCCTTTTTTATATAAATTATAATAATAAAAAAGTATTATATGAAATTAACCTTTCATCTAAATTAACCCTTAGCCTGTCGAGTGATTTTCTGCGAATCCCTTTAAAACTGTCGCTAGTTTTGGACCGAACTTCCCGTAAAATGTCGCGAAAATAACCCTAAACCTCTGAAAATTGTCAAGCAGTTCTTTTGTTATTTCCCATCCCTCCCAGAATTTTACTTCAATGATTCCGTTACGTGAGATTGATTACACTAGATATTGTTCGGTAGATGTGAGCTCTCAAGAGAATTGCAAAAGGCTAGACTCTCCGTGATGACCGTCTTAAGGGTCAGGGTACAGCTGCGAAACTTAAAAGTTTCCA